TGAGTCTGGAGAAGAAGATTTTTGAAATATTGGATAATTTTCCCTTTGGGGCCCCGCCCTGGCCCCAGGGGTGGGGGTAGGAATCCCAATTTTACAATTTTGAAGCCTCATCTACCAAGGATGATTCTGACCAAGTTTGAAAAAAATCCATCCACTGGTTCTTGAGAAGAAGTTGAAAATGTAAAAGTTTACGCACGACGCACGACGGACGACGGACGACGGACGACGGACGACGGACGACGACGGACGAAAAGCGATTGGATTAGGTCACTTGAGCAAAGCTCAGGTGACCTAAAAATCAATATCAGGAGGAAAATCTGCATGCTAATAGTTTGCTCCTTCCTAAAAATCAATACAAAAAAAAAGAAGAGGGAAAAAATCAGCTGGTTATTTTCAATGGAAGGGAAAAATTGTCTAGTTGTTATTTTCCCCCGGGGGAAAGAATCAGCTAGCTAATTTCTTCCCCCGGGGAAAGAATCCACTAGCTGATTTCTTCCCCCCAGGGAAAGAATCAAAACTATCTTGTGGGGGAAAGAATCAAAACTATCTTGTGGGGGAAAGAATCAAAACTATCTTGTGGGGGAAAGAATCAAAACTATCTTGTGGGGGAAAGAATCAAAACTATCTTGTGGGGGAAAGAATCAAAACTATCTTGTGGGGGAAAGAATCAAAACTATCTTGTGGGGGAAAGAATCAAAACTATCTTGTGGGGGAAAGTTTCAGCGGGGAGGAAAGAAGTGGCTGTTACACCGGCTTTAATCAAAATTACGTTAACTAGTTTCAACACATTAGATGTGACGTCATTGAGAGATTGAGTTTTTGGAAGGGGGACTGATTTTTGCGGTAGGTAGTTTCCTTACCTCGTGATGAAGAACTGTAAACATACTGATTTAAGAGCACTTTAATGTTGGCACATTTGTATCTTATTTTAACAGATTAGAATGTTGATGATGATACACTCACAATACAATGTATTTTTGACCAATAAACAGAGATTTTAATTTGCGCAATAATAATTTAATGAAAATATTTGAAGCATGAAAAGCAGAAAATAAGACTACCGCTAAGACGCGTACATTTACAGTATATTGAAATATAGTAACTAATGCATGATATCTAACATTACAATTACAGTACAAATGTCACAACTGGACATCACACAAACAGGTGTCAGACCTTTAAAGTCTCCAGAGTAATATGTTTTTTTCTGTCCATAAGCTGTGGTAGTAATGTCACTACAATATTGCCTATACTTACTAGAGAACATCTTGTTCCATGGAGGACGGAATTTTGAGGACCATATCTGCGTTTGCTCGCCTGTCGGCTGAAAGATATTTGATTGATAAAGTTCAAAATACATTTTATTTGTTTCTATATACGTCAATCAGTAGTATAGCTTGGCCCCCGTCATGTATCCCATTCAACTGGTTCAAAGATTTGTCTGTTTTTAAATGTTACATTTTCAGGTATAAATCCTGGCCTGCAAATGTAAGACCTGCCTGAAATTAGCATCAGATTACTAGGTCTAACCTTTTTACAACTTTGGTCCAATCGGTTCAAACGTTTGGATCATGATATAAAGACAATGCAAATTTGTCATTAATTCATCAAGATTCATCATCTTGGATGCCAGTATTATTAAATTCCATGATCATCATCACTTTTATCATTATCGTCATCATTACTCACTTCTTCTGCCCCTAACTACTTGGATACAAGAGAAAGGGTTCTTTTCCTGATTGTCCTTTTGTCATGGCCCCAAGCCTTGAAAATGCTCCTTTGTCAATTCACGGAGGTAATGTATGGAATACGACCTCAACTCTAATGCTGATGCAGCAAGAATTTAAAGGGTGTTTATTTACTTTTTGTCAGAGTTGTGACCTCCCGAATGCAACACTGTACATTGTATGTGACATGAAATGTATACCAAAGTTTCTCATCATCTGTGGAATCTGTGTAGTGATACATACCGACCACTGGAGGCTGACAGTGTCGTAAACACTGTAGAACTCCTCCAGGCTGAGGGTGCCGGACATGGACGTGTTGATGATCTTAAACATCAGGTAAATATCTCGTCTCGCTATTGTCAAATACAAAGAACATATGTAAAACAGATTATATAAATATACCAAAGAACAATGTATTAAAGCAAACCTGCACAACGGTTTGTGAAACATGGCACTTGGAGAAAAACAAATCTTTTTTTGAAACCAGCTGGATGACCTTATACAGTATGACATTGACCTTTGAACCCATCCTCGGCACGTTTTGATGGTTCCTCTGTTTGTATAAATACTGCATAAATGTCTGCATTTTAGGCTCTTTTACACGGACGTCATGCACACACCACCCTTTATACCTTTTAGATTTAGAAGCATAGGACGATACATGTCTTTTTTACGTGCTGTAAATTGCTGATTTGTATGCCTTTTTATCTACTATACATATTTATAACTTCATGTGTTGTAAAGCGCCTTTTTGAGTAATTTTACAAATTATATAGGGTGCTTATATACAAATGTTGAATATTATCATTATTACACACTTACTATTGATCTGGCTTAGAACTGCATTTTATTGACATGATTTGTGAACAGAAATGAACTTAACATTTTATTTTAACGTCCCTTAGAACTTAAGATGGTTATCTACAATAGAAAATGTCAGAGTGAACGGCGGAAACTTTTTTTCAGATTCTTAAACATATAAATCAATATTAAACAAGACAGCATCTCGTTATCAACTTACTTTTCTTTGGCCTAAAATATTTAATCATTCCAGCAAAATGTTTAAGTTGTATATGGTTGCAATTCTGTAAAAAAATAAATGTTAAAAGCAATATCAGCCTAAAGAAAAAACAATGATCTGAACATCATTAAATGCAAGTAAATTAAATATATATTAATATTATTCAAGAACAATTAGCATAGCTGTCCACCCTCCCTCATTAGGACGGACAGACTCCCTCATTTTGTCAAACTTTACCAATCTCCCTCGAAACTTCCTCATTCAAGTCCAAAATCACACAAACTCAAAATCTACATCATGTTGTCAAATGATCTCCTAGTTACTGCAGGGTGTGTGTAATCCCCATAGCAGGTGTGTCGGAATCAAATTAGTGTCTGAATCAAATTAATGCTTTTTGGAGTTACATTTGTATTTTGATACATACAAAGGGAAAGGTTATTGCCCTTTAATTCACCCTCATTGGAAATGTGGAATGAGAGATCTCCCTCATTGGAGGTTTCAGAGGTTGACACCTATAAATTGGTGTTTTCAATCAATTTGATGAAGCAGAGTTGAACACTGTGAGCAAAATCTTTTAATTAACATACTGGTACCCGGGTATATTAGGGTAAGAGAATATGATTAAAAATATCTAGAAATACAATTTTAATGTATTCTAGACTTAATTAGGCAGTAACAGCCTTTTAACCAATGGACTGAGTGACACCACTTACCCGCTTTGTGACTAATAACCTGAAGGCATGTCGACATCCAATACGTTTATGGAAAAATAGTTTTTTTAACTTTGATTTCTCAAGATTAGAAAATGTGTCATAAACGACAGCCAGAAGCTGAAAGAGAGATTGAAAAAATAGCTAGATAATTAATCACTATGAGATAATGAGATATTTCATAATAATATATATATAAGGACTGTGGTTGGGAGGTCCTTTTTTATGACCCCTCCCAACCAATTGCAACTGCAATTACAATTTTCCTAGGACCCTCTTGAACCTAATACCTTTGTTTAATGAGAAACAAATATTAATATAACCAAGAGGCCCATGGGCCTTAACGATCACCTGATCAGTTATATAAAAACTGATGTTATTGATGTTGCCAAATGAAAAAGAAATCATTTTGTAACAAAGGTAACTTGAACTACATGTAAGATCTGGGTAGTATATGTTCTATGTACAAATTAAATAGTGGTTCTGTCAGTCAGCCGACAGGACATGTCCCTTTAGCTCAGTGGTAGAGCGTTGGCCTCCGTAACCTGGGGTCGTGGGGTCGATCCCAGCTGGGGCACCTCATCTTTCCACTTCTTTCTTTCCTATTACAGTAGAACGAGCTGTTGGATTTATTTTTGGTTTATTTGAGTAAGGTTACTGGCTAAAAAGAAAACAGCTGTCCTATCAAATATCTAATATAACCCCCGGCAAAGGGGCAAATGTGGAGCCTGGATGTCATGAAATTCATTATTTTGATAACGCACCTGAAGACTCCTCCATCTATGAAGATTATTTTTTCTGGCATATCTGAGTCTGGAGAAGAATTCCAAAATGGCTAAAGCCCAAACTGTCATAGTATCAAACTGTCATTTCGAAGTTATAATGTCTCACAATTTTGATAAAGCACCTCAAGACCCTTCCATCTATGACGAGTATTGGTTTCCAGCCTAACTCAGTCTGGAGAAGATGACTGTTGAAATTTCTGGCCATATGACCCCATTTGGACTCCGCCCCTCAACCCCTGGGGATGAGACAGGGTTAAAAATGTCAAAGTATCAAACTGTCATCTCATGGTTATGATGTAAATCAAGTTTGAATGATTTCCAGTAGATAATGAACAAAATATACCCAAAAGTTGCATTTTCATAAATAAACTATAGTGAATTTCACCCCCTCCCCAGGGGCAAACATGAAGCTTGAGGGTCCTGAAATTCACAATTTTGATAAAGTACCTCAATACCCTTCTACCTGTAAGGAGTATTGGTTTCCAGCATATCTGGGTCTGGAGAAGAAGATTTTTAAAATTTAAGCCAATTTTACCACTTTTAGGCAAGCCACTCAGAGCCCCTGGGGCTGAGAACCATATAATTCTGCAAAATTTTATTTAAATCAGATGAGCGGTTTCTGAGAAGAAGTCGAAAATATAAATTGTTTATGGACGAACGATGCACGATGACGGACAAAAGGCAATTAGAAAAGGTCACTTGAGACTTTGTCTCAGGTGACCTAAAAATTTGTATAAATTAAAATGATTACATTATTATGTATCATAAATTATATTACTGCCTACTGTATCTATTGATTTCAACTCTCTGCACGTTTTAATAACAACACGAGATGGCCCTCTATTTCCTGGTTTTAATGAGGTAGAAGATTAACATTTATATGTTTATGTTTACATGTCCAAAGTATCAAAACTGAGTATATTAAGACCATATAAATCAAAAAAGTATTTATTACAATGCTTACCAGGTTCATGAGGAAATAAAGCTCCAGAGAAAGATAAATGATGAAGAAAATGGCGTAGCCATGGTTGTGTGCATACGCCGGCATCATCACATCGGGGTAGCTGTGGGTGAAAAAAAAGGGTTGGAATGTCAATGTCTGCTTAATTTATTGAAGTATGCTTATTATTGAAAAAAAAATGATATAAGGTTAAGCAAGGTAAAGTATTGCAAGCAATCTATAGTCCCAAACCTTTGCACAAACTTTGTTTTCAGAACATATGGCCTTAAATCTGTATATATACAATGTAGTGAGACACTAGATCAACCCTTTCACCAACCCATTTACTCACATAATCAACTTTTAGACGACGGCTTCCCAGACAAACTTTTTAAAATATTCTTATTTATAGAATGTAAAAGTTTTTAATGTCTTACTAGTTAACTAATTTTAATTTTATGAAGGTCATATCATGTATACTGTATGAAAACACTTACAACATTGCATGTATTAATGTTAGATAACCTATTTCAGTAAGATCTAACATCAACGCAGTTCAAAGAATATTTATTTAATTTTCCACTTGTTTTCAGCGAAATGTATTATTTAGACGAATACAGTCAGTGACAAACACTAGTAGTACTGATCACATTTAACCTATGTGTGAAGAGTTAATCATATATTAATATAGAATATTTTCCTGCCAAGAACACCTGCTGATAATAAACAAGAGATTAAGGGTTAATATTCCGGACGTTTGACCTGAACCGACATACTTACTTGGCCGTAGTTAGAAGTACAAACAGACTGATAAAGCTGTCTTGTATCGTTGTAAAGTACTACAAGCAAATTAACATTTAATTTATATTTTTTAACACTGATAAAGGTGAAAGATATTGTAAACATGGAAAATTACAAACAAGATCATAACACACTTACTATATATATACATAATTATATAATATTTGACCTTTAAATTTCATAAGGCTCTGCAATCATTTGAATTTTGCGAAATAGTATACCCTGGTATGTAACAAAATGTACATAATTTATGTTATGTCTCTACATTATTTTTCCGCATGAAACATTTTTTTTGCCACTCAATGTGTGTCACAGATCTCACAAAAATTACCTGGATGTGAAATGTGCTGCAAGTAAAATTGTGGCTTAATACCACCAAGAGACTTTAAGAGTTTCGATTTTGTATGTGATGAATTTTTCACTATATTAAAGTATTTTGGAAAAAAAATGTAAAATCTTGATCGCCAATACTGTATTCAGTAACATTTTTGTACTCATATTTATCAAGGGAACTTTTTCAAATGGGAAAATATTTCAAGTAAGACCAATATTGTTTTGGGGGAATTTTCAACCAATAAAACTTATCATATAACTTGTAAATTATCAGTATAGTACTTACTGTGTCTTGAGGTATCTGGGAAAACAGGTAAAATCCTACAATAAATAATTAATTAAATAAACTTCCATCTTCAGAAAAAAGTTTAGGTAAATAAAACCACATTTCTAATAATTTGTCTGACTTTCATGTTTAACAAATGGGGATTCACTCTCACTTGAATGTCAACAATCAAATTATTGGCCTGTACAAATGTCTGTTGTTAAGAAATATTTTACACTTACCTAATATAGAGAATATAAGCATAAAGAACAGAAGAAGAATAATCATGTCTAGGATTGGGGGGAGGGACTGCAGGATCTGTCGACATATCCTGGAAAAGAAAATACAAAACTGAAAATTATTAATAGAGCCTATTATATGTAGGTGTGCGAGATATATGGCTATTCTATCTGAGGGCGACTGGAATTGAGAGTTTGCCGAGATTCTGACACCAAATTTGATACCTGAGATACCTCCGTAATGATTGACTCTTAATCTTCTCCCACCTCTTTCCTCAAAGTGTGGTCAAACAAGGCATGGACATTGCAAATGCAAAACTTCTAGAAAATGTATACACGAACTTAAAGGCAATTCTTATGTTCCTGATCAACATTGCCACACTCAGTCAAAGTTGATGTATTTTCAAAATGCCATCATCTGATTTTTGTCACAATAGTACAGGTCAATGAGTTCACCCTTTTATGAACAAAAGTCTTGAAAGCAGATTGAGATTAATAGCAAATAATAATATTAATTTCCAAAACATTCTACCTATATATGAGCTAAGGGGATATAACAGCTGTGATACTAATAATAATATCTTTATTAGCTGTTGACCAGGCAATGTATGAAAGAAGCATATATGTACCCCGGAATGAAATTCTTGGGGGATTACGAATTACAAAATGAGTAACTGCCCTTCAAAACAAATTTTATCAAATTATGAAGGCTAGAAAATTTGCTGCAGAGCGGGCCACCATCCCGAATAACTCCCTTTACGGAAGGGGGAGGTGTGATTTTCCATGCTCGGAAACAGCTGGCAAGTGTTAACTCACATAAATGCTTAATTATAAAGAACCATTATACCCCCAGGCATCACCTGACAAGGTCGAGTGGTTGGTTGGTTGGGGAGGGTGCACGTGGTGGGTCACAAAATTATCAGGCACACAAATCTACTGCAAACAGGCTGCTGAAACTGACCCTAAACAAAGACTGAGTCACGTGACTGAACTGACCAATCACTACTGTAATTAACCATATACTGATATAGTGTCACGTGACTGTACTGACCACTTGACCACATATAGCTGACCCTAACTGCCTGTGCACATGTGTGTGATAGGATAGCCTTGTCTTAGTTCATAAACCATACTTATACATGTACATGTACATAAGTTCCAAATGTGGGATACACGTTTCTCACATGGGTGTTCCACATGGGACACATGTACCTCTCATACACAGAGGTGGGAAAATATGCATGGTAAAACTTATTTCATAATTCTAGCAAAAATAAATCACATTTTAAATAATGGATCAATCTTTATCCCATTTATGATGATGTACAAGTTATTATCATATACTGGCACATCTGTAATGCCACTTTGATACTAATCATTTTTCATGTTTGTTATTCATCGTTTCTTCAGCCCCAAATAAATCAATGCTTACAAAATATTGCCATACTGATATTGCTAATTAATTATTTATGATCGATGAAATATTAATTTAGCTAATATTTTTGCAGTCACCTCACCTGCAGATGACGCAACAATATTGGGTGTCTATGAAGAAAAGGGGGGCAGATGGCACACGTTACTGTACTCAAAGCTTTGAGAAGTCATATATATCTATAAATAGAACTGACCTGCGTATATTGCGGCAGTAGTATGTGTCGATGAGGAAGAGTGGGCGGAGCGCACGGGTTACACGGAAGTGGTTCGTTTGTCTGATCATCACAACTATGGTTTCAATAAACATGATCGACAGTGTCACGGACTGAAATAAAAATCCTAATAGTATCAATTCATATTTAATACATAAAAAGCTTCAGGGAAATGGATACTGTATAACATTTACAGCAAGCGATGTAAAAACAAGAGTACCACAGGGCGGAACAAAATACGCCCGTCGAATGCCATATAGTGTTATATACTTTCTTACATTGAAATAAGATCTGCATCATTCTAAGAGTGGTTAGCTGATATGCTATAAAAAATGTAGGGGAAATCTTCGGACAAAAAATCAAATACTGAAATGAACAAAAGGCAATTTAATTTTGCAAAAATCGTCTAATCAAAATTCTTTTAAGGGAGACACAACTTCATATCATGATTATAAAGTATACCAAGTTTCAAAGAGATCCGTTGAAAAATGTAGGAGGAGATTGCCAGACAAAAATCAAATATTGAAATGAACAAAGGGCAATAACTTTTGAAAAAATTGTTGAATCAAAATTCTTTTAAGGGATACACAACTTTATATCATGATTATAATGTATACCAATTTCAAAGAGATCGGTCGAAAAATGCAGGAGGAGATCTCTGGACAAAAATCAAATATTGAAATGAACAAAGGGCAATAACTTTTAAAACGATTGTTGAATCAAAATTTCTTTTAAGGGAGACACAACTTCATATCATTATTATAATGTATACCAAGTTTCAAAGAGATCGGTCAAAACATGTAGGAGGAGATCTCCGGACAAAAATCAAATACTGAAATGAACAAAGGGCAATAACTTTTGAAAAAATTGTCGAATCAAAATTCTTTTACAGGAAACACAACTTTATATCATGATTATAATGTATACCAAGTTTCAAAGAGATCGGTTGAAAAATGTTGGAGGAGATTGTCGGACAAACAAAGTTTACGCCGGACAGACGGACGGACAACGCCATACCATAATACTACCGTCGTATAAAAATGGAGTTTATAATGTGATGTCAAACTAAACATTTTTCCTTTTTTTTGAAAGCCAAAATAATACCAATACATGTACATAGAAAAACATTCAGGTTCAATTTACATATGTTTATACCTAGCAATTATAATATAGTTTTAGTGTGAGGAATTATTTTGCTGCATGCTATCACTATTGTTTTGCATTGTTTCAGGGTATTGAGGAACAACTTATCAAACTTGTTAAGATTATGATTTATATCCAGTCGAGTGAGTTAATTCCCTGGTGTTATTTACTTGCTGTTCTCCTTAGTTTATTTAGGGTGAATATGAAACCGTTCAGTCAACCTGAACTTGTTCTCTGAGAACAGGTTATATATATTTTTAAAGATGATTTGAAAGGAGAAGAAAAACAGAACAAATATTTCAAATCATATCTGGTTTAACTCATTCACCCCTGAAATTTCATAATGAACTATTCCAGCCTTTGAACTGGAAGAGTTCAAATGTGTCTCTAGGGGTGAATGAGTTATGTTGTTCCATCCTTTGTACAAGAGAAGGTCAGTTACCTTGATGACAGTGCGGATATGCCTGAAGAAGACTTTCCAGCCAAGCCACTTCATGCGGATGCCCAGTTCTAGGGCAATGATGAGGAGACCAAACAGTTCTAGGGCACCGTGAACCTTCAATCATATATATAACATAAAATAATAATGGTTTAATTTCAATTTTCAGTGGCAGTGCTTGCCTATATAACTAGCTATTGTAGCTAAAAAAACATGTTCATATGACAACAAGACTTATATGGTATGTGCAGCAATATAAAAACATACTAAGTATACTGGCCGGTACATGTATTAAAAGTTTTTCATATTGTACGTTACTTCAACTGTTTTTTACAGTAATTTTAATCTAAATCTTGTGATAAGATATTTTGAAGTCTGTTGCAGGGTGTTTAACGACACACCTAAACCAAGTTCCTATGAAGCTGACACTAATTAAACTATTGATAACAGTATCAATGGCGAGACTCTGGTGATTTTTTTCCATGAGAACAGTATTTAAATGTATTTGAGGCTGAATTTCTCCTCTTTTTTGTTATACATACAAAAATATAATTACTATACAAATGTACCTTAAGGATCATTGCTGGAAGATTTCAACTTATTTATCTCATGTTACCTTTAATTTAAAGTTGTTCTACATGTATGTCTTCAAGAAGTTACCGGTATTTAAAGTGTTGTTTTTTACATATTTGACCCCTATGACCAAGAAAGTGTATCAATGTCATTTATTCGAACAAATTAACTTGATCATTATGAATTGAAATGATAGTCCTTCAACAAACAGCAGGCCAAATTCCATTTCTCAAGACCACACTGATCGACATCTACCCCATCCTCACATAGAGAGGGATATAGATTATACAGAGTGTAAATACAATTTATTGGGTAACCAGGCCAGTGTTAGTGGGATTGTCCCAATTTTTATACACACTCATGATCAACAGGGATCATGTTGACATATGATGTTGTTAGATAAGATAATGTATGCATATCTTGATATATCAACGATAAAAACATCTGTGCTTTTTAACTCATTCACCGCTGAAGACACATTTGAACTCTTCCAATTCAAAGGTTGAAATAGTTCATTTCAAAATTTCAGGGGTGAATGAGCTAAAGGTTAACTCCAGCATAAAAAAGTGCACCTAAATCTGTAAGTACATGTAGATATAAGTACATGCAGATATTATAAGTACATGTATTTACCTGGTACATCAGTAATGTACACTGACATATGCATGCAGTACTTCAACATAAGTGTACACACTTCAACTTTAAGTTAATGTTTATAGATATATACCTGATCAAACAATATATTACTACCTATATTTATATTTGCTCTGCATCCTGCCATTGCAATGCATTGAGAAGGAAAATGTTGTAGTAAGACTATGTATAAACACCTTTGCTATTGTAACGTCATCAATATCTTTTGTGACAGCATCAATTTCATTGTTGTCAAAACTTGATATGCTGTTCAAAGAACTAACCCAAATAACTCAATGAAGCATTACTACTCTATCAAAATGTAAATATATTGAGTAATGAATATTTTAGCAAATAAGTGTTATTGTTCTATAACACACATTTCCATCGCTGACAAACTTCTATAAAGCCCAGCTACCAGGCTTTTTTAAGTTTGTCATCAATAGCAATGTGTGTTATTGGACCATAACAACATTTGTTAAAACAGTCATTGCTTACAGTAAATGACACTCTCAAGCTCCATATAAGTAATTACTAGGTATGTGTTGAGTGTTCTAACTGAATTACGTAGTGTATGTAATATGACCCCTTGTAGTGTAGGACAGTTCAGCACTACAAGGGTAAGGTACCAGATCTGAGGACAAACTTATTGTTTGTTTATTTTAAAAATTTAAAAATATATATTCGTGAATTTCGATGCAAAATCTTCATTTTGTACGTATGTATTCAATGTTCCTTCTTCTTAATTTTTTATACCCGGTAGTTTATGTTTTTTCAGGGGGTTTTCCCCCCTTTTTGACCATTATATTGAAGTATTAATATTTGAATAAACTACGGTAATATAAATTACCGGTAATGATGACAGTGACCCCTAATTTATTTATTACTAATCAAGACAGCATTGATAATAGTTGTAAAAGAGAAGATATGGCCCTTAAATCATCAGAGCTTGCAGCTTATAGAATATGGCTTTTCGAAAATGTCTGTGTGGATGTGTGTTTGTATTAATATTCATTATAATACAACAACTATTAGATAACAGGGTTTCCACATACAGATCCCAGCAATTTTAATTCTCTTAGGACAACGTCTATTTCCAATTAATCATTTCCTGAGGACAGCACTCATGAACAAGAGGCCCAGAGTGCCTGTATTCCTCAACTGGATCTTTATGCCCAGCAATGGTATATATGGCTATTCAGGACCTCAACCATTTGAAAGTTTTGGCCCAAAAATTCCGTCCCTAGGGCAAGGGATGGGGCCAGATACAAGAGTCAATACTTCAAATATCATGATTGTGTTCATCTCCTGTAACGAGCAATGGTATATATATATATGGTTATGGGGTGGGGTCTCAACTGTTTCAAAGTTATGACAAAATCATAAAGTCCCATGAGGTGGGGCCAGATCCTAGAGTCAATTATTAAATATGACTGTATTTAATAATTAAATAAATGCCCTTCGGGCAGGTGAGCTAAAAACTATATTTTATATGATCCCTTTAAAACAAATTATAATCTTTTTTTTATTGTTAAATAATAAAATACAGCAATAGAACTATATACACAAAAGAAAAATATCTCTAGGCCTGTTATCAGTATATATACATGTATATGAAGGGCTTTAATAACAGGGACAATATCTGATGATGTCACAGCAATGATACACAATTTAACACAATCATATATATTATCTTATCATGTGTTGAATCATGCATTAGAACAATGGTTTAATCTGTGTTTATAACAAACAAATACAGGGAAACTTACAAAAACAATTGATCTATTATTAATTATGATGCTGATAAAGATATACGAAATATAAACATTATTGAAGTGCTGTATTAATGGTGTTTTCTTTAGAGAATGTAGTATAAGTTTCCCTACTCTAGGTAAACAATTCATTGCGATATATTGCATTTATAAATACAAATGTACAAACATATATATCACGCTTAAGAATACCTGTTATCTTTGTACTACATTCTCACTTTTCTCTTCAATGTAATTAGTGATTGAATTACAGTAAAAAGTGGAAACTGAGTGCAGTGTGAACATTTCCACAATGGCAATAATTCAGAAATCTTTATATCTAAAATTAATATCAAATTCATATGTATAAATATTTATTTGTGTAAGGACTATTTCGCACCAATTTACTCAACACGAAAAGCCAGAACATTTCCACACTGCAAAAATGTCCACTTTAACCGTATATATTGTGTTTATCTAAATGATATACGTACTCCAACAGGCAAGGTAAGGAATGGCACAGCTGGACGCTCACAGGCTGCCATGAACAACACCATCATTGACGCAAATAAATCCAGGGCATAGAACCAATGGTTGTGCGCAATCTCATAAGCAGGAAGCGCATCATGACTCCGTGGGTGGGTGGTGTATTTGTCGTTATTTTCTCCCTCTTGTAAAAATATTGCCGCTTCATGGTAATTAAGTTCCCATATCTTTTTTGTATTGTTCCAGACCTCTCCGTTGACGGATGACGACGGGAGGTCGTAACCCATGTTACCGGGTTCATTATATATGTCATTGCTTTCATCATCATGTCCTAGGCCATCTGTGAATAAAAATAATGATCATACAAAGCAGGTGTTCAAAGATAAAAAAAAAAAAAAAAAAAAAAAAAAAAAAAAAAGCAGGTCTACATGTATATGAAAATAATTTACTGCCTAGACCAAGTCGTCTATAATACAAATCAGTCTGATGTTATTTCTTTGGATATGTACTATTCATTGTAACTGTTGTTATGAATAAATAAAACTTTATTACTACAACAATTAAGAAACAAGTTATTTCAACTGATATCAATCTTTCTTGTTGGCCTGGATGTTAGTGCACAGGGCTCTTAATGTGGGAGGAAACTGGAGTACCTGCAGAAAACCTGCATGATCAGGTACATGTTACAGGTGATCCCATATACCTTTTCACAACTGATTGGGTATTTGAACCCCGGTCGCCTTTGTGAAAAGCGAGTGCATTATCCATTGCGCCATCGACCACCCTTACTGAATAAGGAATAGTGTTCTATAAAATGTCTTTTCTTCCTTTGTCAATTTATTGCAAATAGCTAACTGCTACTAGATTTTTGATATATATCTAAACTCTAAATTCTAAGACTGACAGTGCATCCACTTAAAATTGACCCTTTTTAGATTTTTAGTTTCAATTTAATATCCCTTTTTTTACGCCAAAAAGACAAAGTATGTACCTGTAAATAAACTGTACATACATGTATATTGAATTGCTCGCTAGGTAAATGTAGCTATTACTGCATTCTCAAATATAACAATAAGGTACTTTTCTTCTAAAAACAGCTTCAAAGTACTTTTAAAGTGATTCTTTTGAAGCTCATTATGAAATCAGAGAAATATTTTTTACAGTCAATCTGCAGCATGTTATATTGTTGTGTGAATTGTATTATTTATATTACATAAATAAAGGTTGTTAATATGGTTAATTTTAGTAGCAGGTTACTGGGCAAAACATTTCCAACTGAGTAACTAACTAATTGGACAACTTGGAAATACAGCAATAAACATAATGATATTGAAAAATAATTAAAAAAAAAAATACAGCTTATTTTTACCAAAATTATTTGCACTATCATAATATACCTTATTAATAGCATGATACATAATATTTTTTTATGAGATTAAATTCCGATATCCAAAATATTGTACAACAATGGCCAGAATACATACTAAATTATTGTTACTTTTAATCATATGCAGTAATATTTTGGTTGATTAACGTAATTCATTGATGAATACACCTGTTCTACAGTTACACATACAATAATGTATATCTTTAAGATTTAAAATCAAATGTATACATGTTCCTTAGATGATATAACGAAGATATTGCAAAAGAGTTTAATCTCACAAACATCATGCATTTAATGCTAATATTGCCCTCGTGGCATCATTTAGTTGATCTTTATGTTATCATATGCAAAAACAGCATTAATAGCTTGAGGTGTGCAATAATTATGCTGTATCAATTAGTGTTCCCCTGCATGAAGGTCTTAGACAGGTTAACATGAAACTAGAAAACATTCCTTTATGGGATAATTATTTATAAATGTTAATCCGACCTTTCAGTTATTGAATTTTATAACTACTAGTTTGTGATCTTTCAAACGAGAAATTTGTTAACACACATTTTTGTTTATGTAATATGTGTTCCAATTTCTACATATGGCCTAATATTTGAAGGATGTCATTTAAAACACAAAACAAAAGAAACAGTTTGTTATAATTAGTGTTTTGTTTTCTAGGGAATTTTCTGAGCCAATAATTGGCCCCGGTTGAAACTAGTTCATATTTATGCATAATTCGAAAATTGGCAGTTTACTCCTGAAAATTTTCTTCCCAGTTGGTACATTTTCGTTCCAAAATGAGAGGAAGACCAAGCCATTGTAATTTAATGAAACCATTTTAGTTGCCATGGCAACAGCCATGAACGTACACCATGCACTATAGTTAACAGTTTTACTAATTATAGTCAACATCTTATAGTTATTTGTATCTCATCAGTTGATCATGATTTCAATATTCGAATAGTGTGATACTATTTACTTATGTAATGTTCATCAATATCTACTCATTACTGTATGTATAGGGGTCTGTTAAACTTTTATTTCAGATTCCATCTGAGGGCCAATTATTTCATCATGACAGCAAAAGTTCCTCCAAAAACTCTACAAGGCCTTTATGGGACAGACAAAAGGACACATGTAACACACGTGCAGCTAATCCATAAGTCACTATAGTAGAATGTCATATCATTTGAAATGCTCACTTGCATAATAAATATGGAACAGATCAATCGTAAATATTGACCGTTAAATATAAAATCATAATATTTTAAAGTGATTCCAAATTAACATTAATATACATTAATGATATGTTTAAATTCAAATGTATATTAGAAATCATTAGTTGAATTTATAACATATTTATATTAATTTTCAACATCCACATAACTTCCACATTGTGTGTCTTGAATATCAGTCTTAACTGATGACAACATCAAATACTAATTCTAAAACCTTATAAAAATTGAGGGTACTGAGGTATAAAAACCTTGTACCCTCAATTTTTATAAGGTTTTAGAATGTGTACATAAACACCGGATAAAGAGTGTTGCTGTTATTTACTGGTGTGTATAGTTTTATTATTAACCGAAAGTATCCTGAAACCGAGCCCCTGTGATACAAGGAGCGTATAATAGGGTTCCCAAAATAATAGTACAATAAAGTAATTTAAATTGTCTAAATCACCTAATATAAAAATCTATGATCGTCATGAAATCAATTTCCTGTATAAGATGAGGTGTCAGTCCTAATAAGCAGCACATTAGTTAGGTGCCGAACGGATAATATAACTCTGTTTCAGATTTTGAAGACATTGATTTTGTCCGGAAATGGGATAACTTGTCGCATAGCCGATCACCTGCGGCGCGTCTAATTACCCAATACTACCCAATACCACCCAATACTACCCAATACTACCCAATACCACCCAATACTACCCAATACTACCCCATACGATCCAGTTATGAACCAAATACTTCTTTATTACTGTGAAATATCACCTTTGTAGACGTTATTTACTTCCATCTGCCATATTTTATCGGGAAATATGCGATTTGGTGCCGAAAACATCACCGAATTGCCGTGACTATGACCCAATACTACCCAATAC